CTTCTGTTTTAAACACRGACTGTCTCACCACGTGAAGCTGATCTGAGATGCAGCACTGTGATTTTCATTCCTGCAAGAGGCATTTTGCTTTTCAGAATAACTGCCGTGTAGCTATACGTTCATAGAGCGCAGCAAGGAAGTAATTTGGGTTTCTTTCTCTGTTCAAACCATGTCAGCAGGGAAGTGGGGTCTGCCCTGGTATGGAAGCAGAACATGACCGCAATGCAGAACAAGATTCACAACTTCATTTACTCCTGGATTTATCTTGACTTAGAGTTTTGAACTTGCTAGATRGATGTTTTTGTAAATACTGCTCCTGTTAGACTGAAAGTGAGTTTTTATGTAGGCTTCGTAATAGTATTAGCTTCAAATATGAGCATAAGTGCCATATAACTTTTTTTTTTAATTTAAATCTAGACAGTAAATCCTAAATCTAGAAAGTATTTCTCAATCTCTCCTGGAGTCCCTGGCTGCCCAGGGAGGCTGTGGAGTCTCCTTCTMTGGAGATCTTCCCAACCCACCTGGATGCCGCCCTGTGCCCCGTGCTCTGGGTGTCCCTGCTGGAGCAGGGGGTTGGACTGAATGATTTCTGGAAGTCCCTTCCAACCTCAGCCACTCTGTGATTCTGTGTCTTAATGTAAAACTTAAACTAAATGAGAGGATAAGCAAGCTAGTTAGAAACCTTAATGTAATTTAGGGTGATCAGTCAATCGTGTAACACAGTTACGACTTTATAAAAAGAAATATTTCTTTGTGGTGTTTAGAGTGAAATTGAGCTTAGAGTGAAAATGAGTTACCATATTATTGCAGAACATGGTCAAACTAATACAGGTTGTTAGAACGTCACAAAATAATAGAGCTGTGAAAAATGGAAGGTGTTTAAAAAGCGTGTGCTGCTTTTGTTTTCCTGGAAAGCCAGTATTTGTGTAGTTGGTCTTATTGGAACTTATTTGGAAGTTGCGATTCTAAGTGTATTTTAGCATTTTGAGATCTTTGGGGAAGTTATAAAAATAAGGCAAATCTTCATTTTTCAACTTTCAGTTGTGCTAGTACCAATTCTTACTACCTGGGCTGTCTTGCTGCTGCTGTTTTTTTTTTAAAGGAAAATTTTATTTGCATGATTTATAGTCTTTCTTTTAGCCATTATATAACATAGGATATTGTCAGTAATCTAGTTGTGAGAATTGATCAAGACTGAGAAAATGATATCTAGAAAAATGGCCAATTCTGAGCTAATTGCAGACTTTGAAGACTGGTATAGGTAACAGTTGTTCGGCAGTAGAGCATAAACAGCTTCGTGCCTCAAAAAAATCAAGCTGTTAACGTAKCCAACTCTTCCAGTAATCAATAAATCAAACAGATTTTTTTTGTCTTCTTGCTTATTATCTATGTATCCCTACTTGTGTTTCCATGATGCTTCTTCTTTCTTCGATACATCTTCAGTATAAGCTACCTGGGGCAGGTTTATTTATGTTTCTATCCAGCTATAAGGGTTAGAAACTTGCTTTGTTCTTCAAGGGTTGGTGAGCCTCTTGTCCGATCTTTGGGCAACAGAATTGAGGCTTTAAGAAAAAAGCCACAAATATTGTAAAACTGGTTGCTGACCAGCTGGGTTTTTAAGTTTAAATTAAAGGCTACAACTATATTTTCTCCTTTTCTAGATGCAGCTTATATTTAATGAAATGCAAATCCTTGCATACTCTAGTGACGTTTTACTGTGCTAGTCTTGCATTCAAGTGGGAGTAAAATAAGATCCTTTGTGCAATTTTGTGMATTTATAATTTTTTTCATTTTAAAATGAGTATTCATAGAAGTATSTACTACTTGATTCCTATGTACTTTTGTATGTATTTCGGCATAGCATAAAACTTCAGCAAGTCCTAGTTAATATTACAGAAACATTCAGCTGTACTTTGCTTARATACTTGCAGTTCAAACATCATGAAAACATTTTTCAGTACTCGAATCTAAACAGTGGAGCAGTATAAACTGTCCATCCTCTGCCAAAATTTCACTAGCTATATAATTTGGGAATCGGAGATTATTTTAGCCTGAGGTACCTCTAGAATATATTTGCTTCCTCTTCTCTTTTTCTTCTGAGACCACATACTTTCTGAAAGAGTCATTTGGTGGCTTCTTGGCTGTGAATAGCGATTCTGTTCCTTCTGTGGGGTCTTGCTTTCAGAGCCAAGACAACTGTTGCCTTGTGCTTGGTGGGACGGTTCCCAGCAGCTACTGTGCAGAGCAGTGAATAATGTTTGTTTGTGCTCTACAGTTGACCACATCTGGGGGTGAGGAGGGCTAAAATCATGGAAAATAAAATAACAATAATAAAAGAATTGCAATGATTTTTGGATGTGKTGACAGCTTAAGTTCATATGTTTGGCTAAATCATGTTGGTAATGGAGAGATATTAAAATAGAAAGGGAGTGGATGTTATTTGAATATTATTTGAATATCTGAATATCTGTGAATTGAATATCTGGGAAACAGCTGGTTCAGTGGATCCAAATAAACAGCTGATTTGTAATCGGAATTAATCATATGTTAGAGATTTAGCTTTTGGGCATCCGGCTTTTAAAACTGTTTTAGAGCATCTCACACAGCAACGCACCCTGTTAAGCTCTGAAGTTATCCCSTGGCTTTCTAAGTGAGCAAAACATTCCTCCCTCCATGCTCTGTTATCCCTTTGAATAACACAATATCTCTCAGGACAAAGCAGATAAACAAATTGTGACAGAATCTTTCACTTCTTATCTGTACATACTGGCCTGTGTTGGAATGCTTTAATTTGAAATTGTATTTCTAAAGTTTTGTCTTTTCCTTTTACAGAGAATGTCTTTAATTGTAATATTTATTTTTGTAAGAACATGTGGATATTATTATTTGTATGTGTTTTGCATTTGAACATACTTAAAAAAGGAGGAGGCAAGCAAGAGTACAAATTTAATGTTTTTTTCCTGAATGGGCTAGAAAATGTAATTTAAATAAGCCCTTAGCTTTTGCATATGGTGAGTTTTCTGTGATTTTTTTCAGTAGTGTTTCAAATGCCTTGAAAGATTATTGCAAGTAATCTATAGAAAAAGATGCTCTGCTTAGTTGATCCTCCAAAAACAAGGGGTGAAAAAAAACCCCATGATTATGTAATCAGGAATTTGATGCTGTAAAAAGAAGGGGGAAATGGCATGTAGCTTAAAAGATTGCTATGGGATTATAGTTCTTTTTATCACTTGATGGTTAAGCATAATTTCCTGGTGTGTCTCTGAACTCTCATAGCTGATGTCCGGCTGTGGGATGACTGCTTGCCGTGAACAACTTTTGGAGGGTCACTGCAAATTCCTTTTGGGAGTTTCTCTTTCAACTGTAACGCAGGATTTTTACTTCTCGTATTTCTTTGTGTGTTGACACACACTGAAACAGGAGAATAACGTATAAAAAGTATATAGGAAAAGGTAAACWAGATAGAATGAAGACATCATGATTAGGTGTTTTTCCTCTCTAAAAACACTGCTCTGTTTATAACCACAAATCTGTTTTTCCCCCTTCTCACTTGTGTGGAACAGCAAGTCGATGGCGGAGCCTCTTCTCTACACCTGTCTCCTTGGCTTTTCCCTATAGTCCTGTTGCAAGACTCACCCCATATACCAATGGCTTTAATAGTCCCAGCTTCTCTAAAACCTCCAGTAAAGCAATACTAACACCCGAACGGACAGGTAATGCTTAACTTTTTATTGACTTACAGTGCTTACCAAATTGCTTAATTAAATCTCATCGTGCTACCATTTAACAGAAATATGCTCTAAAGACGGTTGTAATAGACTCTTAGGGAATTCTTTTTAAAAGCTGACTTGAAAATTAACAATTAAGGAGGTTATCTGGTTTGTTCCATAATGTGTTATGGAAAAGTGGCTCTAATAAACAGAGCTTAGCTCCCCTATTCAACAGGATGTAGTTCAGCTGCTGTCTAATGGTCTTGGAGACACCTCAGAGTGTCTCAAGTCTGGCCTCCCAGTGCTGCTCCAAAAGAGCACGGGTGTTACAACTGCTGCAGGTCCTAGAGGGCTATTGCAACTTGAAAATATTTACGTTTGCTCTTTACAATCTTTCCTTTAGGAAAAGGAAATTTGCATGTGTTTTTTGGGGTGAGAAAGTGTCAGAGAATAGCTGCACTTACCATCAGTTTTAGGTGAGCGCTTTGTGCAGTACTAGAGGCTAGCAGCACATCTGAGATGTAAGCAGAGTTTAAGAACTTTTGTCACAGGTTTTTTAAGTTTGTTTCTTTATACAGTTTTCTTTAAAGCTGGGGAAACACTAACTCCTACCACTAACAAAAACAAGAATATTTTAAGCACAAGCCTCATTTTCCCACAGCTCCAATTCTCTCATTGGACCTGCACCCATTTAACTAAATTATACCTTTATTATTATATGAGGGGGAAAAAAAGAATCTAAATGCCTTTCCTGTAGTTAGATCTGGAAGGAGGCATTGTTTCCTCTGTTGCTGCATCATGCCTAATTTGCTTTTTGTTCCTATTATCATTTGTTCCTCTGATGATTATAAACAATTAGAAAAAAAAACCCTTAGTAAAAGCTAGGTGAGTGGCTGTGATGTGGACTATGGGGCTGAACATCCTGCAGAAGATGGTAACGTACACACAGAACAAAGAACTACAGTCRCATAGGAGAGACTGAAATGCAGATGTGTTTAGTTTACTGTGCTGACCARTCTGAGCTATCAGGACTGTGGTGGGCAAATTACTCCTTGTGWAGGGTACACTCTGCTGTTCTGGGAATAGAGGAGTTCATGAACCAGGATTGCATTTATTACATCTCATGAGTATCAAATCCCCTTGCTAATTCTTAGTAGATTGCTCTGTACTTCTGAAAGTTTTTGTCTTATATAGAAAATATTTAAGCTATGACATCAAAATGGGCAGTTAGTCACAAATAAAAAATTGCCATATATATTCACAGGCTAAAGATGATATGTTCTTACATAGGTTATACTTCTCGAAGTTCCCCATTGAGTCCACAGTCATCAATAGACAGTGAACTGAGCACCTCGGAGCTGGAGGATGATTCCATCTCCATGGGATACAAACTGCAGGACCTCACTGATGTTCAGATCATGGCTCGTCTCCAAGAAGAGAGTAGGTGGCTTATTTCATAAACATTTCCTAAAACAGCCTCGGGAAAACTTCCCATCACAGTCAAAACTGCTCATGTCTGGCCTCACTCAACCTGATCTTTCTTAGGAAGATGTGGTGCCTTGAGTGGTAGGTAGAAAAATACTCCTTTAATTTTGAGGAGAATGTGCATGGGTTGATGAGTTCAGATTAAGGATATTGGATCTTTTAAGGTTTTTGATACTTACTGCAAAATCCACAGCTCCATACCCACTGAGTACATTTAGATTTATCTGTTTGATAATGTCTTACCATGTTAATTAAAATGGTTTATTTGGGAGGAAGGGAGAAATTGAAGCATCCTTTTCATGCACACATTTAAAGAAAAAGTTTAGACTAGGCAGTTCTCATTTTTGCGTAAGCTTTGAATTGCTCAAATATCAAGTGCATTTTGAAGTGATTTCTCCTTTAAAAACTGAATTGGGGCATGTAAAGTGAACAACTTGCTTTCAGACTAGTGATTATGCACAAATATGAGCCCAAAGGCTTGTATGACATAGATTACAGGTTGGCCTGATAGAAGTTTATGGAAAGTATCTTTATTCATAAATAAAAGACGTTTTGCTTAGAAGTCACTGAGACAATAAATGCAGAATCTTTCTGCCTTCCTGTTAGTGCCAAGGAAGACATAAAAGAGGAAATGATGAGCTAAAAAAACAGGAGGAATTTAGAGATGATAACTGAAAGAAACTGCAAGATAATAAGGGACTGCATGGAATAAAGATAAAATACAAGCAAGAAATTATAAAACCGATCTGACTGGAGCAATCAGGGTGAACAGGCCACATTCACCACTTATGAGCTTCCTRCGAATCTGGAAGCACTAGTGATGTTTGCCAGGGAAATTAGCAAAGGTGGGACTTTCCAAGAGAGCTGGGTGCTCAGCTGGCAAGTGGGTATGGTCAGGACTTGGATGATCTCTGATGCTATGTGTGGGTAATAAATACATATACATATATATAAAAAATATATAAATATATATATATATATTTATATGATTATATGATTATATATGATTATATATATGATTAGATGATTTTTAAAAAACAAGCTACTTAATAAATCAGATCATTGGTAAAACGGAAGGAGGAATAAGGAAGTTTTCCTTCTAATCTATTTCACATATATTCACTGTACTTTGTTTTTGCAATAGTAGTCAGTACATGGCAGTTGCTGACTGTCCACTTAATCCTTTGAAAATACTAGCACTTTGGCAAGTGCTAGTATGATGTGTGCRTGCAGGCAGACTCTTTCCACATCCGTGAAGAGAAACTCCCACTTGAAGGGGGGGAACGCTAATTATTAACCTTCATTAGTAACCTTATCAATAAGGTTATTACCTCATTAATAACCGTTACGATGCTAAAGAAATCTGTTAAACCTGAGTGTTTTTTGATAACTGCATCCAGAGATGCAGTTATTGACAACTATCCACAAAACTTCTCAACTCCTGGAAATTCTGATGTATTCCAGGGCTGCCTCTGGTGCAGTCTTGGAGAAGGTTGGCCTCTCACTTGGCCTGAAGCAAACAGACTCTTTGGGGCAGTGCTAATAATGGGAGAGTTTTCAGAACTGGCATCCTGAAAATGAATGGTGAAATACATATGTATCTAACATAAAAGAGCATTAGCTCTAAGCCTTTTTCCCTGATATCATGTACTACCGGGAAGGAATTCTGGTTCAGAGAAGTTAGAGAGCTACAATATTTACATGGAGTTTGTTTAGCAAATGGCTTGTTAGCACTTTATTGCATACTGTTGCATACTTTTTGCAATAACTTTGAATAATAACAGGCAAATGAAGTTAACTTCTAATTTAGAGTGTTTGAAAGTTAAATACTTAATATTCATGTAGTCTTTTCAGTGGCAGAGAAATGAGCACCTCCTGAGGGCTATTGATTTTATTTTGAAAGGTATCTATTATAGCTCCCAGGAATTGCATTTTGAAGATGCTAGCTTTTTATTTAATTTTATTTTTTAATTGAAAAGAGTTCTCAAGAGAAGTAGATGAGAGTTAGACATCTAGAATGTAGACACCTAAAGTTAGATCAGCTGAATACTACATTAGATCTTCAGCGTGGTAACATTGTAAATAAAGTCCTTTGTAGAATAGCATCTAATTGCTTTTTTAATTTGCAAGATTGAAATGTGTGCTGGAATTAAGCACTTAACAGAAAGTCMATCTTCCTCTCCTTAAAATTTACAGGCCTAAGACAAGATTATGCTTCTACTTCAGCATCTGTATCAAGACACAGTTCAAGTGTATCTCTGCATTCAGGAAAGAAAGCGACCTGCAGCGATCAGGACTATGACCGCTATAGTCTTGAGGATGAGGAAGAGTTTGACCACCTTCCACCTCCACAGCCTCGACTCAYTCGCTGCTCCCCTTTCCAAAGAGGAATTCCGCACTCACAGACTTTTTCCAGTATTCGGGACTGCAGGAGAAGCCCTACTTCCCAGCACTTCCCTTCTAATAATTATCAGCAGCCGTACTATCCTCCTCCAGCCCAAACTCCAGAGCAGCAACCAAATAGGATTAATGGAGGTGGGTTCCACGCTTTTCTGAAAAATGTTTTTTCTTTGTTCTTCTCCTCTTTGCAAATTGTCAGTGCCCTTTTAAAGATCAAGTTGTCATCAAGTGTAATGTGTTCAGGTTATGACAGCTAGACCATGAAGCAGGACAAGCAAGTTGAGTCTTTGTGAGTGATTGTGACTGCAGTGTTTGAGGTATGTTGTTGTTAAGTAACTCGTTACAAAATATGATCTGTGATATGGTCATGAAAATTGTCATTTTAATCASTTCTGGATGGCTGCAAGAATGAGCACAAGTAAAGAAGAAAAAGGAAAAATGAGCATCTTGTAACAGACCAATAGTTGTCTGGAAAAATTGGTCAAGCTTTAAGCCTGGCCTATATATGTCCATCATGATTATAGCAGAATACAAAAGGGGTTGCAGTGATGCAGGTACTCTGTGAACCCATGGGGCTTCCCATGAAGGTCGACGCTGTGCTCTTCACGCTGGCAGTGCCAAGTCTAGTTGGGCAGATTGTTGAAGTAGTGAGAGGAAATGTCACTCGCAAACCACCCTGAGCCATTGCTGCCTTTTTCACTCYATTTGAAATGTAATTCAAAAATCTCTGGAAGAAATTTTTATTATGCTGCTCATTGCAAATGGAACTTTCTCTCCATTGTTCCTGTTACGTTCTTTTTCATTCCTTATTGTGATCTTAATTTGCCTTCTCTACTGCCTCACTCTGTTCTGCAAGCTAATTTGAGGTAATCTTGTTTGTAACGTTACAGGTTATATCTCACCTTTGGGCAAGAAAATAAATGTGGTGTTCAAAGCAGTCACTGTTTATATAGAGAGTGCCATGAGTATGCATGCTCCTTACCTGACAAATAGCACCTGACAGGATGCTGCCAAAAACACTTGCAATCAAAGTAGGACATGGCATGACAGTGTATAAGGAAGGCTGAAGTTGGTATCAGGTACAAGGATGTGGACATTTGTTAGTAGAGCCTATGTGCTATATAAATTTGAGTGCTGTTTTTCCTGTCATTGTGATACAAAAACAGGACAGCACTGAAGAACTTGCGGAAAATCTGTTTGAGGGATAGAATGGAAAGAGATGAGAAATTCTTGTTTGGGGAACGTGGACAGGATACAGTATTGCAATCTTCATGTTTGATTTCCAAGTAATCTTTAATGACCCTTTCATGTTTCATGTTAGTGGAGTGTAAGCCTTGGACTCCCACACTGGAAACGTCAGGGAGTGCTTAAAAAATACTGAAAATACTACCCAACAAGCAAGTGTGGCAAAGCGTCCTTTTTCCTTCTCTCTTATCCTCCTTTACCCCTCTCCTAACTTCTATTTAATAATGAAAAGTGACCAGTTTTAACCCCTGGTTGACTTTTTTTTTCCCAAGAAGTTGGAGTTATTGGATAGCTACATTTGAGGTGTTGAGTTTGACGTTGTTCAGAATATCACAACACATGACTTCAGTTAGTTTCTGTTTTCTGGAATAGCTACTTGCACTACGTATATAGGAGAACTACCTATGGGAAATGAGGAGTCTTTTTTTTTTGTTGTTGTACTGTGTTTGGATAATGTTATGACAATGTTGTTTCCTCATCTTGGTAGCAATTTCATTGTCTTTCAGGCACTACTACACTGAAAGGAGACAGACTGCAAACTAGGAATTTGTCCCCAGCTCAATGTGATGGATAGTGTTTTTCCCACTATTATTTGCTCAGTAGGGCAGRTGAGAAGAGGTAGGCTGCAATAAATGGAGAAACTTAACTAGATGGCTACTGCTTTCAGTGTATGTGGAAAATACCATTCTTAGGCATCAATGCATCCTTGATTAATTGTGATGTTCCATTCAGTCATTCCAGCAGTTTTCCCAATTCCCTTTCCCCCCAACTTCCTGAAGAGAGACCAGAGGTGCTCTTGTTTGTATAGTCAGCAGTCTGGCCAATGGATCATCTAATCAGTCACACCATAATCTCCATCAAAGAGGACAAAGCGGCAAGTCAGCACTACAGTTTGGCACTTACTGTGGGGTGAAAAGTAGTGTTTAGTTTTGACAGAGTGTCTCTCTCCAGAGCTTGGCTACTTAAATACATTTTTTTTTGCCTTTAAGAACAGAAAGGAGCARTGATGCTGTCCTACCTGATGTTAGTGATTTGTATTTGTTTAACACCTATTAACACCTAGGTGTTAACACCTATTTGTCAACACCTTCAACCAGTATATAATTATATATGATATATAGTATATAATTATATATAATATATAGTATTGATTGAAATATTTATTCTAACCTGAGATCTATACTACTTGCAAAGTAAAACGTGATGAATAAAGTGGGAAAACTTGAATACATTTCTGTGACTGTGATATTAGGAGCCTGCTGAGTAACTTTAACCTATTACTTGTTGTGGAACTGGATTAATTGTTGAAGAAAATAAATGAATAAAGTAAAATGATGATCTAGGCAGGGCCTATCCCATTAAACACTCAGACAGCAGTAGCAGGTTCCCAGTAGGTGGAAGAGACAGGCCCCAGCCATAATCCTTTTAACAAAGTTGTTTTGACAGGGCTGAGAAGAGCTTATTGCTGGCCTAAAGGAAAGAGTAAGGAAAATGCAGCAAATGGAGACTGGCACTCACACTGGTGGAGACACAGGGAGCCGTGGTTTCCGTGATCAGCAGTGGCTGCTGCTTCCCCACATTTCCMTTAACAGGGCCTTGCAAAGGTCTAAGTAGAGAGGGCTTTTGATTCACTGCTCTAAATGCCTTTTTAAAGGTCGAGTAAGGAGTGTTTTATTCCTTGAATGCAAGGCATGTATTGGCTGGGATCCACCTTGCTTGTGAGCACATCTGCATTTAGATGCTGAGATATAGGTGCCCATATGTGAATGAAGGACCCAATCAACTGCTCAAATAGCAGCACTCAGAGCCATGATTACTTTCTAATCAGTTTTATTTCCAGTTGTGAAGAACAGCAATTCACTAATAGGAAAATTTTGTGTGAAACTCTTTTTTCTTGCTTTATTGCATCCTCTCCTTCTCAGTTAAATGTCACATAATTCAGGGTTTCACTGGAAAACTCCATCTCYGCACATCGATAAGGCATTTTGCTTTTCAGAGGAGCAGTCATTTAWTTTTTGTAAAAAGCTAGTGGGTCTRAATGGATCATTTAAAGAAGACCTGAGAGAGGTACAGATTTTTCTGAGAAACAAATACTTCTAATTCATTGTATCATGTTCCTTAACTACAATGCACTTCCTATAACAACGCCGTCCGTCTTCAAATGTTTATTCTTCAAATAATATTTATTCTTCAAATAAATCATGGACAACATTGTTAAAAAAAAAAAAAAACCCAAACCCCAATAGTAAATGAATATGCTTATAAGGTGCTTCACTTTAGGGTCAGCCTAAGCTCTTCTTACACTGTCTGATTCCTGCCCACAGGCACTGAGTGTCTCGCCTCGATTTGGTGGATTCCAAATCAGGGCTTGCTGGTCCTGTTGAGTCTTGCTGAGTGTTAAACAAAATACCGGCGTTTTGTGACACTTGAACTGATAATCTACCCCTTTTGTAGCCTGGATGCAGACTAAACAGCTGGCCATCTAATTGTAATCCCGCAGCGTCTATTCCCATAGTTCACTTGAGGTCCCGTTTTCCTGCTGTCTGGTAATTCCTTCCTTCCATTCTTGAAACCACCACCAGGTTTATATAAACCCTTTTGGTATTTCAGCCTGACTTGGCATCCTGCCTGTTGCATCAGCAACATTTTAAACTTCCTAGAGACTCTTCTGTTCCAGAGACCGGTTCCCTCAGATTCTGAACTGCTTCCATGAGGTTTGTAAGACTGGCTAGTTCAAGGTGTTTATCCATAATCAGGGGCTGCCTCTGAGGAGCAAGCAGAAGAACTGCTTCCCTGCATGAGGTGTTCTGGCAGGGAGAAGATGATGTTCATCAAGAAGCTCCACACRAAAACTAAAGATCAGATTTTGCATTCTGACCACCCACCAAGACCAATACTTGTTTTGGTGCAACTTTACTCCAAGTGCTTGCATGCTAGATGAGCATTGATCTTCAGAACATGATAGTACTTGGTCAGGAGGAAGAAGGAAGAATGATGCAGCCAGGGCAGCTGCTGACACGACTGGATGSAGAAGATGCAAGTTGTGCTGCAGGTCCCAGGCTGAGAAAAAAGTCCATGAGGGGGAAAAGAACTTGAAAAAGTCGGAACTGAAGCAACTAGGTAAGAGACAAACTGCTGTCTTTACTGTAAATTTGAGGAATATTTTACAAAATAAGGGACTTGCTTTTTGACTAGTTTCTTTACTACAGTGAGCATGATCTTTGGGGGTGGTCTTTTCTTGCATATTTTTAGTTGAGGGCAAAGGAATCTTGGTTTTTTTCCCCAATCTGTAGCTTGTCCCATGCTCTAGGCAATGTGTGATTCAGAACTGATGCCAAATGTAGAAGGGAAAAAAAGTATAAACATGCAGAAGGTGATTTATTGTGGATCACTGTGCAGATATGTGAAACAAGGACAACTAATACAAGCTGAAGAGCAGTCAGAAATTCAGTTAAAAACAGAACATCTTTAAGACTCTCGCCACTGCTTTTGGAGAGGAACAGATGACAGATCAAGCTTCATTAGAAAGATGAAAGAGAATGCATTACCCAAGGACATGAAAGCTGCCAAAAGACAGCAAGACAAGCATCCCTGTTTTATCCACAGACACAGAACTGACCCTTTGTTTTCCTTGCTTTTCAGGGCCATTTACCTCAGCAGACACAAGGACCTGAAGATCCAAAGAAACAGTGCACGTGGTCGATGGAAAAGAATCTGTGGGCCAGCAGAAATGTGTCGCGTTAGGGCAGAGGCAGCAGCTCAGCAGTCTGCTGCCATGGGCAGGGACTAACGAGCACGAGGCAGAAGTGGCCACCCCTCGGCGTGGACAAAATCCAAGCTACTTCCATACATTTTGTTTTTCTTTTCTACTATTAAAAATAGTATCCAGTGGATAATAGTTGGAGTAGGATATGCCTGTTCATGGCTGCTGCAGTCCCTGAATGCAATAGCATATAGAATCCTATGAATTCGCTTATACTCTGTGATACAGGGATAGTATTAGACAAAAGCTTCTTTTATGTAGTGCTGTCTTCCCTACCACTATCCTGCTGCTCAGACCTTTTTTTTTTTTTTTTTTTTTTTTTTGACATATTAATTTAGGATTTCCTAGACTGTTTTTCCAAAGTCAACAGTAGCTTCAGATACCAATCAATACTATCTTTATTTGATGAGAATAAATTCTCTAATTCTGCTAATCTGAAAATGTGAAAACACTGGTGTTTCTACTACAACTTATGGTCATGCACTGTGGATCCCATGCTGATATTCATGAGTATCCTGCCACTGTGAACCAAAACTTGAATCACTGGAAGACTAATTTCTTTCCAGTATGAAAAATCATAAACATTTCAGAAATAGGAACTTGTAACTGTTTCATATTGGAAAAGCTTTTGGAGAGAGCTTTGCCTCTATACCAATTTTAGGGATCTCAAACTTTGCATTCCATTTTCTTGCACTGAAATTCTCACTATCCCATCTCTTGTACTTACTGTTTGTTTTAAAAATATATTAAAATGTAATACTTTTCATAGCAACATTTGATATTAAACTGTTTTCCATACGGTGGTATTTTTCTACATCAGACTCTCTGTAATAAGGGAATGTCAATCTTAGGTGGGATAAAAGGGGAGAGTTACCTACACTGTGGGACTGATGTGCATGCTCTGATGTAAAGGGCAAGTAGGCACTAGCAGTAGGGAATGGGCACAGGGGGATATTAGATAGCCTGGACCATTGAAAAAAAGAATGATTTTGACAGTTGCTGTATCACTTTGTTGACCAGACTGAGTTATAATGAGTCATTGGAGTTGTAGCTTTGCTTGAGTCAGTTCCCTGGAGTCGCACAGGCAACATGAAGCTACAATTAGTGACTACCAATACAGTGTGAGTGTTTAAACAGAACTGTAATGTCATTTACTACTCTCCTGTTATTAGCAGCTGTGAATGTAAGAGTTGCTGATGATGGTGCTGTGTAGGGTGTATATTTATATGAGCTGATTAATAGAGACTTCTAACTCAGCTTGCTGCTATTTTGAACTTGCCATGTATATGCTGAGGTGGATACAAAACAGCAATCCCAAGCTGTAAGTGTGATGTAGGTGGCATTCTTGTGCATAAATCCAAACTTGGAATCTTAAAATRCCTGAAAAGAGAAGTTGTAGGTGCCTTTTACAAGAAAAGGACACGTCTGCCRACGCGTCTGTACCGTGAGCTGGAACAGTGTGCAGAGACTCTTGAGCTCCCCACGCTGACGCTGGACCAGAAGTGCAGTCATGTCAGCGGAGCACAGTAGCAGGCTGAGGGGCCACATGGAATGATAATTTAATGGCTGGTCCCTCACTTTCACGCAGTCTTGCCTCACTTTGCAGGAGGCAGCTCATACCAGGATACTGGGTGCGTGTCTTTCCACCCCCTAGCATTTTTTTCTGGCTCTACAGAACTCAATCACCAACTTTYCTCTCCCTTTACCCAGGGGCAGGAGTAACTGAAAAAGGTTTGGTGTATTTTACCCAGTGCTGTTGTGGTTGGGACATTTTCCTCAGACAGCAGACTTGATTTCAGCTTCTCTCCACAAATCAGATGTGAAATCCCCTTGGTATGATGGGATTACAGGCATCTTCTGCTCTCTTAGGCATTTGCCTTAGCTGTTGAACCTGCCCCCAAACATCTCATTTCCAGCTTTCTTTTTGTGCAGGGCCTTGTCCTACAGGCCTGTGCTGAAAATGCCCACCACCCAACTTGGGCACCACAAGTGGGATAGGAGGGAGAAGCAGATTTGAGCATCCTGATGGCAACCCCAGGGCTGCAAGCAACTCAACCGCATCAAGACTTAGCAGGTTTTGTGCATGAACACCTGCAGAAACTTAGATGCCCAAGGACTTAACAAGCTGATAAGGTTAGGTACTGAATGGAATTTTTTAGCATCTCATTGGCACCTGAAAACTAGACTTAGTCACTTCTGATGGATTCATCTCACCTATCTTTAGATATCCACAGTGCAGATACCTGCATCTGACGTTGTCACTGCAGCCTTGCTTTTTATCCACCGTGAAGAATTAGGCRCATTTAGGGCATGATTCATCCGACCTACTTTCTACATTTACATGATACTCATCCTTATTGTGACACTTCTGTGTTTAAATCCTTGYGATACCTGAAATATGCTGTCTAATGATGCCTTTAAAATAATTTATAGATAATTATGTTATTATCTGTTTATTATACAGTAGTCTGAAGGGTTCAGGTAGTAGGCACTCARTGATGTATTCATATCCTTCCTATGGTGAAAAACCTTTCTTTGTGTTTAAGTAATTTAGTTGGAATTCTGCTTTTCTACAGAAATTATTCAGAGCTTCCCGGTGCCTGTTGGCAAATCTGATCCCTCTGTGGCTCTTGTGCTCTTTTGCTTCAGATAAGCTCCGAAGAAGTATGCCCAACCTGGCTCGCATGCCCAGCACCCCCACCATCCACAGCACTGCCAGCTTCGCTGCCTCTCCGGCCACTGTGAGGAACAGTCAGAGCTTTGACTCCAGCYTGCACGGAGCTGCGAATGGAGTTGCACGGATGCAGTCATGCAGTGAGTACCTACGTCCTTTAGCTCTGCGCAGGCAACTGATAAGACTTGCAAAATACATGTCCCAATCACTGATCTTCCATGTGCCAAAACATTAAAAGAAGGCCTTTTCCTTTGTCCTTTTTGCACTACGTTTTAATCTATCTCAGTATTTTCAAAGTTTTTACTTTGGAAAGGAAATTCTGACTAAACTTGTTAATTATAAATAATATAAATAATTGAATTTCATTACCTTCTTTCATTTTTCTACCTATTCATCTTGTACCAAACTTTTTTATCATTGACACAGAGGCATCAACARTGCAATTCACATAAGCTTATGTTTTTAGCTTTGGTTTTTGAAATGTTGCTTTTATTCATAGTTTAGCCAGTGCTGTTTTTACAATGCACTATGTAGATATCATCTTAAAACACAGGACCTCTTTCCTGTTAAAACTGAGCCTCCTTGTTCTAAACAAATGAGTTAGAGAATTAAATCCTTAAGTATAACATACCTGTTGAGTGGGGGAGTGAAAATAACTGTGTAATTGGTTATTAAGGTGCTTTCTGGACTAGGGGGGGAATATTGAGTTCAAGTATATTTTGAATCCTCCATGTAGAACATCAGTGAGACAGATGAAGAGCCGAGCCCATCGTTTGTAACACGGTGGTTGAATTAGCCTAGCAGGAAAGGAAAAAAGGGGCTTTCATTTGTCCCAAAGAAGAGAAGAACTGAATGTGTTTTATGAAGGCGAAAGTAGCAATACCTTTTCCTGTGGATGTTTTCTTTTGAATCTCAGCAGAATTTACAAATGGCTTCAAAATGATTTAATTGCATTCTTGTGGGTCAGATGTATTTTCTGCTGGGTTCATTTTATTTATTAATTCCTTTACCTAGCTCTACTAGGAGAATGGAAGTACCTGTCCAGGTCCCTGTTTGCATTTGCATGGTAGTCTTTTGAGGGTTTAATTTTATCTAATGCTTTAAAAATATTTTTCTTCATCTGTATATTCGTGTGTGGATATACATATCTATGTATATGYACAAAATGGGATTTTTCTTAAACGTAGACATATAGTTGCTTATGTACACACATAAACGTATTTATGGGAAACATTCCTTATAAATGTGTGTGGGTTTTTTTTWAAAAAAAGATATGATAATGTTAAGAATTCTGTAGCAATGTATTGTCAGTATGATTTAAGTGCCCCACACATCTGATTTGTCTCCCATGTCTTTGAATGAATTTAAGATGCCTCTTTTCAAAGACCTGCAACAGAACAGGCCTATGTGTGCTGGTTAGCTTGAGTGCTTGACAGTTAGAGGTGGACTCTGAAGCAGATGCACAGGAGATGTACACCAGAGGGCAGGATTGTGTAGAGAATCTCTATCGAAAGCTTTGAGAACTGGTAGCTTTGATTTAAAATGATAGTCTACATAATAGCTGTGGAGCAAGTTGTTTTACTCAGGATCTTTTTATAGTCTTTTTTTTTTTAATGTATAAAACTTAGACATCTGTTTTATAATGCTTCAGTGTGATGTTCATTAAACAAAAAGTAGTTACTACAAACAACTTTGCAAACATCCAAGTGGCTTAACAGTAATTACTTTATATCTTCAGCAATTTCTCCCATTTAAATATCTAACTGGGATGAAACTGGGTAGGTGAAAATAGATAGAATTAGTTTACCTGCAATGAAGTTTCTTTAAAAGGGAAAAGAAGGAAGAATAAGGGATRGGATTTTGTTATTTTTATGCAGTGTTCGTGGATGCAGTATTGGATCCAACAATTATTTCAATACTTAGAGTTAGCAAGAAAATAGTGTAATGATTATGTCTTAGTTAGACCTGTCTAGACGTAAACCACACGGCCTCACCTGTTGCGTCCTGACCTTATTTCTTCCCTTCCTGTGACTCTTTACAGTTCCCTCGCCAGGACAGCTGCAGCACCGCGTTCACAGTGTGGGACATTTTCCAGTGTCTACCAGACAGCCTCTCAAAGCTACTGCCTACGTAAGCCCAACCGTGCAAGGCAGTAGCAGCATTCCCGTGTCTAACAGCTCGCAGTTGTACTCCAACACTGGAATCCCAATGCCAAACAAAACTGCCAACCAAGGGATCTTAGGGCGCAGTGCTCTTCCGCGACCATCGCTGGCCATCAATAGCAGTGGCATCCCCAGAAGTAAAATTGCACAGCCGGTTCGAAGGTAAGAGCTGAACAGTCTCCTGTCTTGAGTGGCTGATTTTGGCTTGAGAAATGTCTTTTCTTGCTCTCTGAGGTGTGAAGCCGGGCTACAAAGGAGAAATGTGTCTAACTGCTGATGTGGAGTCATTGGGCAGGCGGAGATTTCTCTCCACAAACAGTAATAAGCAATGCCTGCTGTTAATTCACACTGTGGTACTTGATAATATCTTATTTAAATCTAATTGGGACCAATTACCATCCATCAGTAAGAAATCAAAGCAGGTGGAAATCTCGCATCATTTCTATATGTGACTCATTTTTCAATACTTGTGCCCACTGTTATTTCAGGGTAACTGGTTGGATATTTTTTGAGACTACACAAGTAGAGAGTTGCCTCCCCGTTGTTGTGAAAGGCTGTAGGCTGTAGAAATGCACGTTTTGGAATTTAAGGATCTTGAGGGAAGATAGTAGGGTCTTGGGTTGCAACTCAGGGCTTTAAAGTTCCATCTGGGGAACAATAAGCAAAGAGGAAATCCTGAGGAATCGTGTAGTTGCAGTGAGCTATACTGTTAGGCAAATACATTTTTGCTTTTTGCAAGAAAATTAAGTCTCCAAATTATTTTTAGCAATAAAATAAGCTTGAGGAAATAGGCTATGATTAAATCACATAATCACACCAGGGAATTGAAATTAACTCTCAGCTGCGTGTTCATATGACTAGAACTGGAAATTCTTAAAAAAAAAAACCCAAAACACCAAGATCTTATGTCAAGATCTTCCAAATCTTAATTCCCTTTCCATGCACCCCTGCCACTATGAGGGCCCACCGTGTGATCCCTTGCTTCTCTTTGGGGTGAGCTGTCACTGACTCTCACCATTTTTCTTTTTCTTCCTGCTTCATACCTGCCAGATCCAGAGGAAGTTCCATTGCTCACGTTGTCTCTTCAGTTGAGTTGCTCAGGGATTACACCCATGTAACTGACAACAGGTTTTGACCAACTACGGTGAAACGTTGATAAGGAGCTGTCAGGTTGCTTTGCTGATGAGCACTGCGCTATGAGATTTCCATTATAACCTTCTTTGCTCTCTGCTGGAACCCTCTCTGTGAGATTTCTTTATAGAAGGGTTTTTTCCTTCTTTTTTTTTTTTTTTTTCCCCCTCTCCTCATCCTCCTTCTCTCCTTCTGCAGATCTCTTAAGTCTTTCATAGTAACATAGGAAAAAGACAGACGCTTTCTGGGCCGTGACGGCCAATCTCTTGCTGTTTTCTAAATTTTCATACAACACACAATGATGGAGAAAAGCAGAAGTGAGAGTTTTCAGGTGGTGAAATACTGTACACACAACACTGGTTTTATTAGAAGTTGCTTCAGAGGAGTAACAAAGCTGTGTTTTGTGCTTAAAATCCAGGCTTCTGGCTTCTCACCTGCTCCATAGGCTGCTCTAGAGCCAGATCAGTGATCCTAGAAGACAGATTATGTTTGCACTGTGTGAGTGACCTGTTTGCTGGACTCTCAAAGCACTAACAGACTGGAGGTCAGCCTGAAACTCTTTAAGACCCTGATTTCTTTTTAGTTATTTTTTTTAATATAGCAAATAAAAGTGATTTTAGTTTATACATACATTGTTCTTTGAAGAAATTCATCCATAAGAGGCATATTTCCTCAGCACTTTTGTTTTGCCACTGTGGTTATTTCCAAGGAATGGCATTTCAGATTATCAGTTCAAGAGTCTAGCTTTATTAGTGGACTGAAAGTTAGTGTCTTTAGTCATAAAGACKTTTTTAGTCAAAAAGACATAGTCTTTTTTTTTTTTAAGTGAGGGGAAGGCAGAAAGTGGCCATTTTTCCAGTTCCATGGATGGGCCCAGTCTCCCTTTCCAACTGCACGCTCCTGGCTTCTTAGAAGCCTGTTTTTTCTCCTTACCCAGGAGCATGATGTTGAGTGCAGAAAGGACCGACAGTTTTCAACTACTGAGTGTGTTTTCCTTTTGATTCCCCTGTAACAAAAGTTCAGGTTTGGATAAGTAGCAATATTCTTACATTTATTTTAAATTTAGTTAATTATTCTTTATTTTTCATCCTCTCTGTTTTCTTTGCAAGTTTGATGATTGTATTTTCYCTCCTCTTCTATTCAAAGAAATAGAAAAGGGAAAGAAAGAAGTGAAAGCAGCCTTTTTAGGTAGGTTGTGTTTTCTGAAATAAAAGATGGGCACACTTTATTCCTCACATAGCTGGTTTTCTATGAAAGGTAAGTAAAATAAAAGTGGAATTGCATAAAAGCAGCCTGGTTAGAACTCCCCTAAATTGGAACACCCTTTAAAAATAAGTGTGGGTTTTTTTCTTTTCTTTCTGTTTTTTTTTTTTTTTCCTTTGGCAACTAGAAGAATAGCTGAAAGAGAGAACAAGAATCTGTTGTGGTTACTGCTCTTAACTTCCTTGTCTGCCTTACAACACACCTTGGCCTTCTTCCAGCGCAGGGCATTTGGAAAGGAGGAGAAGCATCAGTAACTTGAAGCAATTGCAGCTAAAGGCAAAGAAAAGAAGGGAAAGATGCTTGAGAAATGGTTTTGTAAGAAGCATTTTCACAGAACTGGAAGTGTTTATTTTCAGTAAAATTTAGTGCAACTAAAACATGATGGTTACAAATTGTAGGTAGCCTCTCTAGCCATCAGTGAGCTGACTGTTCTGTCAGAGCAGAGATTTTTATCCTTTTCTTTGATTTGGTTAGAAATAGTTATCTCGGTAGTACCTAGAAGTTTGAAAGATAGTCAACAAATATTTTTAAATTAATCCTCGTTTACAAGGGACAGATGCAGCCCAGGAACGTGAAGGTTGTAGAGGTGGGTCCTAGAGGATATGTCTTTTACACAAAATATGGCTTCTTTTCTCTTTTTGTGTCTTTTTAATACAGTTTTCTCCAGCCTCCCAAACCTCTTTCATCACTTAGCACGATGCGGGATGGGAATTGGAGAGACGGCTGCTATTGATGAAGAATAACCCAAGAAGACTGGAAGAAAAATAATGTGGATTTCATTACCCAGCTGGCTGGGTAGCAACGGTTTGGGAAGGGAGGGTCATACGCTCTTGTTTCCCCTGAGAGTTTAATATTTAAACATCCATAATGCAAAGTCATTTTTTTAGAAAAGGAACCTTTTATTAAATACTAAATATTGCACTTAATCAGTTACCTGAAGAGCTGCGYTGTTACCAGCCTAACAATGGCAGCATGAGCATTTAGAACTGAAGGGAATATTACAYGTGTGCAAAGTACCAGACTGCTTCCTTTGAAACAACACTAGAAGACAGCCCTATTCTGAGCAGCTTTGCCAAACTGAAAATATAAGATAAWTTTTCAGTGTAAAAGAATCATGTGTTTTATCTTGAATTGGGGGGGACTATGTATGTGCTTGAATTTTTTTTTTAGTGTTTCCAATACATTTTATTTTGTATACTTACATTCATTTAAACTTGCCTGAACATTGAAAACAGAGAGATAATTTAACTTTTCTGTGCCATAAATAATATTTTTGGGGTAATGTACTTTTTTAGCACTAGGAACATATCTTACAAAAATATACCATTGGCAATAGAGAGCCGTGTATTTATGTTGCAGAAGCACAAAAAAAAAGGTAGCATTCACTGGAAATTGCCATACAGCTGGGTCAGCGTGGTTTTGTTGGTCTTTCACTATTTGTTCAATTGTTAATTTATTGTCATAGTGTTTTGTATTTAAAAAGGCAGCATCAGTCACACTGCACTTACCAAGATACCGTGATCTCTAAAACTACAATTGGTTTTCAGTACTTTATTACCAAGAATAAAATTCTAATGTTTTATTAACAATTACTTATAGGAAATGAATGAGTTTTAATGTGAATAAATCTTTTTGATAGATCTTTTACAAAATCCAATTGCACTAATCAATGCTTTCTTATAATGGTATATGACTTAATATTTGATTACAACTGTGTATACTGCTGTTTTGGAATGTTTCAGAAATAAAGAATCTATTTCAGCAATAATGCTGGGTTTCAGTGTGCAATGGAAACATGGGAATTTGGCAACTTCATAGCTACAGAAGTTTTTATTGATTGATATTTAGAGTATGTTGCATTCTTGCAAATATATACCAAGTTCATCTGATTTTTTTTTTTAAATCATGCTATGAAGATGGATAAATATTATTTTTAAATAAATTTTGATATAGATTCAAGAAAATAGTTCTGTTTAATATCCAGATTTTACAAGTACAAATGTTGTGACTTGTAATAGGAAACAGAGGATGACTACCAAGTGAGTCCTTGGCCACGGATATAGCCACTGCTTGAGGATGTTTGAGGATCTGTTGTCCATAAAAAAGCAAACTAAAATAAAAAGTGAAGAAGAATTTAGTGATGAGCAAAGCATTTATTAAATTGAAAAATGATTGTACAGTAGTTCAGTAGTGCCTGCAGCACACAGCTTGATACTGTTAACAGAGATAAAAGACTTATTTCTCAGAGTCATTTTTTTTTAATCTGTCTGAAGTTCATTTTTCTGAAGTTCAAAATCATCAAAGAAGGTATGAAGAAAAGTTCCAGCATGGAAATTCTTGTTGCACAGATGAGTGTCTCAACCTGAGTGCATAGTGCTTGTGAACTCATCAGAAACTTTAATTTGAAGAAATTACTGCTCATATCTGTGGACAACTCTTTTTGACTGCTTGTTGATGGTAATAATGCAGCTGTACACAGGAGGGCACTATATACTATGAAAATACTTTTTTTTTTTTTAGTAGCTCAAGTAGCTAAAGTTTTTTTCTCTCTTCTCCAGGCTTTTGGTTTGAACTCGGTGCATATGTTCCCAGTGTTGTTTACATGTGATGACAACCTGTTAAAGAAAGATACCCAAATGTCTGTGATTTGGATGCTTAAATTTCATACTACAAAATGTGTTGTCAAGAGGAGAATGAAGCATTTTTGGTATAGCAGCCACTTAACGAAAATGCAGTTGTTCTTGTTTACACTTACATCCAATTGTTCTGTTGCTGTGTCTTTCCTCATGTCAGGATTTGGTGATTACATAACTCTGCTCCTTTAAAACATTTTTTTTTTTTTTTTTTTTTTTTTGGTGAAAAAAACAGCCATCACGCTACTTTGGATGCCATCAAACTTCAGGATGAAACCCATAGTGCAAACAGCTTCATTTCTTATCTGCTCTGCTATTGACCACAGGCTCTGGCACTGCTGCTGTCCCTGTGACTGCAATACCTGCCTGTTTCSCCTGAGCTTAGTGCAGGGAGCCAGGACACATCCTGCACTGCAGTCTTTWCCTGGGAGCACAATGTGTGGAATATGCAGCACAGCTCTTTTGGTCACTCTGGATTTTGTCTGAGGCAGAATCTCCTGCAGGGTAATCTGCAGCAGCAAYGGCCAGGCAGTGCATTTGTTATCTGTAAAATAAACAAACTGGTGCTTTCACAAGTAGCCACAGTTATTTTCATTTTAAAATAAGAGGCAGCCTTTCAGAACTCTTTCTGTGGCCCCCTGTGCTTCCTCCCCTCTCTTCTGGTCTATGGACACTAATTCCACTCCTGTCTCTTTGTGGGTGAATTCCAGAAATGGCTCTCTGATCCAGGCCTCTGCTTCCTTCTGTCCAAACAATTTTGAGCTCAGCTCTTGTGTTGACTATAGAAATATGATTCTCAACTTTTTTTTTTTTTTCTTTCTTTCTTTAGGTCCTGCCTGCTCTTTCAGTCCCTTGGGATAAAGCCTCCAATTTCCCAGTTAGTTGGTCCTCTAACCTGGGCACTGTCCTTGACTTTTCCAYAACCTGATGTGCTGGCTAAGTCTTAGGCTTGCTGACTCAGCATAATAAATTGAAGATACCAGGACTGAAACCATCCATACATAGACAGAACATTCAGCCATGACCATCTTACCTGAAATCTGAACTACTGCACCACCTTTTTCTTTGGCATTAGCTGGTACAGTCTTTTGCTTCTGGGATCCATCCAAAATGCAACTATAAGATCATTTTCCTATCTTGCTGCTTTGACCGTGTCACCAGTAACTGCTTTCTGTAGGTTGCTGCTGATTTCCCCCTCTTTATGGAAAATATTTAGGAGATGTTTGCACTTGATTTCAAAGCCATTGGCACTGTCCCATCCCACTAACAGTTTTCGTTCAGTGTCGAAGTAGACTTCCCTATCTAAGGCCAGCGTGCCAGCTTGTTTTGCTTCTGCAGAAAACAAAAGCACCTCTTAGCTTCCTTCCATGTTTACGTTGGAGGTGGGAATATTACATTAGCATAAATGGACTCTATTTTTTTTTGCCTTCAAAGTCCTTACTTAAAAGACTGCTGCAGAACTGGTAAAGGCGGGAGAACAGTTAAAATACCAATGCCGTCTCATTCAATCGTTAACCCATACAGGCTCATTTTTTTTTTCTGATTTTATTTTATTTTTATTAGGCCTAAACTGCAAGTTGTTAGAGGCTTGGGCTTCTCCCTTTTTTCCTTTGTGTTTGTATAGCATGAAGGCCCATAGCGTCTGTGGCCCAGGGCAGAATGCCTGTATGGTAATRCATACACTAATGATGAGCATTTTCATGTAAAAACCCTGAGAATATTTAATATTTACAATGAAGGATGGGTTAGCTTGAAAGAGGGAATAACAAACACTATCTCTTAAAAACAGATTTGTTCTGTTTAATCTTCAGGCACAATGTATTTCAATATTAGGAAATTCTGCATAAGAAAGGAAATGACTAAGCCTGGATGGCTTCCTCTGTCACCATTCTGGTGAAAAGCTTGTATCCTGACCTGGTTTAATTTTTTTTTGTTGAGCCCAATGGAGTCGCATTTCACATGCAATATCCCCTAAACCCCTTCTGCCCTGCCCTAACCTTTCTCCTTCATCTGCACTTCTAACTCTCTGTTCCCACCTCCCCATCCTTTTTGTGACTTCTGAAAATGCTTACACATTCTGACTGGTGCAGTTCCTCACTAGCTGCTTGCCGGTTTGATCCATGGTATGTCTCTGGTATGGTCACTTCCCAACCCCAGGAGGTGATTTTTTGTGCATCTTGTATCTCCGTCATTGAGACTTTCAGCTGTTACCTTGTAAGGTAAGCAATCATACTGAATCTGAATTAATGGCAATGGAAAGAGAGTTTAAATGAGGCATGAGGAGATGTTACCATGTGAATAGCTCTGTCAGGCTGTTAACGGTGCACAAGTTGGATCTCAGTGAAATCACCCATGGACTTTTCTGACCTGAGCAGGCTGCCAACTACTTCCAAATGCAATTCAAGGGGTTGGTTGTGACCTAAAGAGTCCTGAGGAATTATCTTTCTACCTCTGCATACAACAACATTTTGCAAAGTGTCCCACACAAGGAAGGGAGAGATTAGATAGGTTCATTCTTGAACCTGGAACTTCGTTGCTCTTTTATATATACCAAACGTTGAACCTTTGAGGCAGTTACAGAACCTGTTCCCCCGAATCTACAAATTTCTGCAGGTATCAGGAGTTCTTTGGGGACTGGGATTATTGACATAATCCTTACAGCAGCTAGATTTCTGTCAGTGGAGATAAACACAGCTGTGCTGCAACAGGCTTGGCAATACTGATGAGTCCAGGTCCTGGTGAAGAGCACAATATTCCAGGGAATATGTGGTAGTGTATTCTAAACATCCTCAGCCACAGGAGAGAAGGGGAAAGGAGAAGGCTGGAAATTCAGAAATCTTCATAGGAAACCTGGCTGCCAATTTCTGAACAGCAGCCGGGTGCTTTTGGAGCCTCTCTCCTGTGAGGAGACACTGAGYGAGCTGGGCCCGTTCAGCCTAGAGAAGAGAAGGTTGAGCGGGGATCTGATCAGTGTGCCCAAACACCTTAAGGCAGGGTGTCAAGAGCAGGGGGCCAGACTATTTTTGGCAATGGCCAGTGACAGGTAGCCATCTGAATGGCCACAAACTGAATCACAGGAACTTTAAACATGAGGAAAAACTTCTTTCCTGTGARGGTGMCAGAGYCCTGGCACAGGCTGCCCAGGGAGGCTGTGGAGTCTCCTTCTCTGGAGATATTCCCAACCCGCCTGGATGCCGCCCTGTGCTCTGGGTGTCCCTGCTGGAGCCAMCTGCTGGAGCAGGGCAACCATCTCCAGTAGTCCCTTCTAACCTCAGTCATTGTGTGATTCTGTGATTCTGTACGTGTTTGAAATGTTATCATAAATCATTGGTTTTGGAATTAGATCCCAGGTGCCTTTTGGATGCATCTAGCTCAGATATCTCCTCAATCCATTTCACAGCATGCGCAAGTAAATGCCAGTTCCTTGGCCTGTACTCAGTGCTAGGTTTTATTAATCTGGGCAAATGAAGAGGCAGAATATAGTACCTTGAATTTAGCATAAAATGAAAGCTATTATATGGTTCTGAGTGAAATTTGATTGCTTTACRGGAAAAGAGAAGTTTTCAACCATTCATGTAGATGTGCTTGTGGGTATCTTACCTTGCACTGTGAGCCTATAGTGACCAGTTTCCTCAATTTTTGAGTGTTATCCTGAGTTTARCAACTTTTATTCCTCAGTAAAAGAAGCTGAACTATTGAAGTGATGTTTATGAATACAGATATAGGAGGTAGTGAAGAAGAGAATTTAATATTTTCCTGAGACAAAGAAGTGCAGTGACGAAGAGCATATGAATCTAGATCTAGAGAGGAAAATAGGAATTAGGGAGAAGTTAGGGAAAAATAACCTCATGCATCACTACAGGTTATTGTTTTACCTGCTGGAAAGCMAGCTCTGTGGAGAGGGACCAGGGAGTCCTGGTGGGCAAGAAGTTAACCAGCAACGTGCCCACATAGCCAAGTAGGCCAACTGCCCTTGCCTGGGGTATATTAGAAACAGTGTTGCCA